AAGCTTATTGTGCTCGATAAACTCCTCTTGCATTACAGGAGGGAGGGTTACAGTCAGCCAGACCGTCTGCGTCCTGACCTGCCGGACGTACCAGCCTAGCTGGGCCATACAAGGCCGGTAGTCGCTAGCGGTAATAGTAAGATAACTCTCGTCAATCACAATGTGGTCTAGCTACTGCCGACTGACTAAGAGGTGGCAGTACTCTAAGAAGCCTTGAGTACACACAGCTTCGGCTGATACGATGACTAGGGAAGCTGATTGCTTGCACTCAATAGACCAGACTAAGGGCCGGATGCCCACTTTATGAAACCGCCTGAGTATATCACCCCGCAGAGCCACCATGGGCAGAACTAGGACCGTGGTCCCCGCATCTGCAGCGGTAGCACTAGTCATAATAGGCAACGTCTTACTAGAGCCGGTTCCTATTACCAGAACCACTTGCTCGGCTGGCTAAGGCCCCATGATGATAAGCACGCTATTCCGCTGGCCGGGGACCCGGAATTGCAAGTCGGGCTTATTGTACAGCTTCCGTACTACGGCCAGTAAGTTAGTCTCAGAGTAAGCACCCTTCTGGCGATGCTAACCACGCTTGGAAGCATCTAGCATTCGTAGTAAGAGCGTCTCCGAAGCCCCTTGAGGCCGCTTTCTCTAGAGGAGATGATCAAACCGAAAGAACGTCCGCTAGCTCTCAGACGCCCGGTAACTGCGGTGTAGTAGGGCACTTATAGTTAGTGTGGTCGTGCTAGTATAGGCATGATTAAACGTATGGTAGCTGTAGTTGCTGAGCTTAGCCAAGGCCACAAGATCCAGCTCGTTCTCGATCTCCTCTCCTATGCCATCTTTAAGCTCGAAATCGGCCCGCTCTTTAGCTGAGAACTTCTCCTTTGTGATCGATACTGCCATCTGCCGCCAGTTAGAGCTGTAGAGTGCTAGCACCTGGGTACGGGTGCAAGCCTTACGTAAGCAGGCTAACAAAGCCTCGTCCGTCCAGACGCTCCTATCAAGCTTGGCCTAGAAGTAGGGAGAGAGTAGGGTACCGGGCTTCTGTTAGCAGAGGAAGAGCTGTCGTAGAGGCAAAACGTAGGCGATGTATATAAGGAGCAGATCGCTAATGGCCTTAGGCAAGAAGCGGATGTTGTCCTTGTAGGCGCCTGACTGTTGCTGGCTCTTATGGTATTACGTATAGATCATAACTAGCTTCTCCCAAATGAACAAGTGGCGCTAGCGAGTTGTATTGCGCTACGTAACTAATAGCAGCTCTGGGGCCCGCAGCGGGGGGCTAGGTGCAATGTGGCAGAGGACTAATAGCCGCTTAAGGAAGTCCTAAGCGTGTGCCTCGTAGATGGCTATAGCTGTAGGGTTGAGAGCTTTGCATCTACCGTCCCCATTAGCTAAGAATATAGCCCGAAGCTTAGTGCTGCCTTAGATCCGCTGGAGCAGAGCTTGCTCAGCACCCTCTAAGAACTCGGTATTGTGGGCATGCGAGAGCCAAGAGCCGCCAAAATCGTCCAGGTCTAAGTCGTCCTTCAGCCTCCACGATTCCATGGGCGTTAAGTCTCGGGCACCAAACATTAGCTCATCGTGGAGCAGAGAGTAGGCTTGCTAGTACTCAGACAGGACTAGCTGCGAGATCTGGGCCATCTGCAGCTCCACTCCTCGGTATCCGACTATCTGACCGTCCAAGGACCACCGGGCCTGGTGCTTAGCAATAGCAGCTTTGCCCACCTTAAAGAGGTAGAGCCGCCACTACAAGATGTGGCCAAAGGGCGTCTCGGCTAGCTACTAGAAGAACTTCTTGCAGATCTTAGCTAAGAAAATAGGAATCTGGTCCTCATCTTCTTGCTCTTGAAAGCAGGCATAGTCGAAGAGCACCATCTGAGCCGTCCAGGTCAAGGCAGACAAGTGGCTATTGTAGTTGCCCGGCTCTATCCACTGGCCCTAGCCTACCCCACTACCCCGCACTTTGCGACTAAGCATAGCACAGAAGCTGAGCACTGGGGACTTGAAGGGCACGCTCCCAACCGTCTGACAGATCAGGGCGAGGTAGAGCCGTCGAATGGCATGCTTGAGCGCCAGCGTAGCCTCTTCCTTATCCTCAAGAGCTAGGGCTTCTATGATCTCGTCTATGGCCTGGACCTGCTGAGCAGTAGGCTGGATGGCGTCTTGGGGCAGCTTCTGGTCTGGCTGAGTCCGCGTAAAGTGGCCCTCCTCACAGTACACGACCCGGTAGTAGTACGCCAGCAGCTGCTTCGTAGTGGTGAAGTACTTAGTTAGCGTCGACGCGTTCTTGTAGTACCGGAACCCGTCTGCCCTTCCTGATGCCCCGGCGTAGAATTCGTTCAGGATATTGGCCCGCTGCTGTGTCATTTTCCGGTCTGGCGAGGTGTCGCTACAGAGCTAGTACGCGTCTCTTAAAATAGCCTCAGCTACAACTAGAATTCGAACGAGATTAGGATCCTTAGTATCCTTAGCACCGGCATCTAGCACCTTCTTTGGCGGCAGGGCGTACGAGCTCTTAATCTCGTCGTCCTTCAGCCTAACTAAGTGAGATGGAAAGTCCGTCCGCTCGAGCCACGGAACCCTCTCTGATCGAGAATCCCCGAAGTCATAGACAATGCTAGCTTACTCCTCCAAATCATGTGCTACATCTTTATAGTCCCTTTCTAGCTTCTTAAATAGCTCTTGTTCGGGTTGTGTTAGCGGAAGGGAAGAGCCCTGGCGTATAACGCTAGCTTGAGGATTCTCTACGACTACAAAGTAATCGATCCGCCTAAACGCAGTAAAGTATATCTGAAGCTTAACTGTCCTCCATTGTACAAACGAATTATAAACAGTAGCCTTGATTTAATGTACAAAAGACGTATGTTTTCTGATTTTACGGGCATAGCGGGTCCCGTACTAACATTCTGGCTACAGGCAATAAAACCCATCGTATACTGCGAGATGATCGATCACTTGGCATTCATCCTCGGCTTGAGGCTTACACTGTTTCAGCTCCTCGAGGGTTCTAAGGCTGTAAGTACTAAACAATTCAAGCGTCGTCTTTAGCTCCGCGCCTAATAGTCGGTGTAGTTCTGCTCGTAAGTGATATTCTTGACTTCGACTGCCTAGAACAATACAAGAATGATAAATACGACATACAACTACTTGGTGAACTGAGTTGTAAGAAAAGACGCTCATATTTAAAGGTTCGGGGGAGGTGTAAGGAACTTAGGGAGGGCTAGGGTAAGTGAACCCTCACCCGAAGAACTCTGAATCAAAAGCTGCTTAATCAGCAACACACGGGCCAACCATCCACCCCGCCACCTGAACTCTGAATCAAAGACTCGCCCCGCATAGGGGGTAGTGATCCATATGCAAATCAACGTCTCGGTAGGTCAGGACCTTCTCGTCCACATCCCACTGTGCTTGGTGCGGCCCAACGACCTCCTTCGAGACAGTAAACAGCAATAAGCGCCAGCCGAGGATCTCGCCCATAGGAGTCTCGGTGTCCTGCTTTAAGAACCGCCCGCAATACTGCTCAATGCGCTCGAGCGTATCACCTAGCTCCGCCTTCTCTAGACAGGCGCTAGCGTGGAAGATGATCAGCTGTACAACCCAGATCACACCAGACAAGCAGCTGTTGTAGTTGCCCGGCTCTTTCCACGTCTTGGTATACGGCTTGACGCTGAGCATGGCACAGAAGCTAAGCAGTGGGGAGCTGTACCGATTGCCTCCAAATTCGTGGCAGATCAGCGCCATTAAGAGGACGGATATAGCATCTCTTAGCGCAGGCCGGTCCTGCTCGACAGCACTTTGGAAGGCCGCTTCCCACGCCTTTTCCTGGGCACCCGTGAGCTGGATGCTGCTTTCAGGGGTCCGCTGGTCGTCGTCTGCCGTGGTGAAGTGGCTGCCGCGGTAGGCCACCTGGTAGCAATAAGTCAAAAACTGCTTCCAGTAGCCAAAGTTGGTCTTAAGCGTATTAGGCTCCTTCTTGGGGTCGAACGCGCGTAGTTTCTGCCCTGGGGCAGCAGCAGTGTGGAAGCGGCTCAGCGCTAGCTGCCGTGGCCAGGTCAGCATGCAGTCGGGACCGTCGAAGCACCAGCTGTGTGCCTCTGTAAAGATCTCGTCCATGATTTCCAGCATTAAAAACAACTCGGGCTCGCTCTCGGCAGTCTTTGGCACCGCAAACGAGGCGTGCATCTCGTCCTTC